GATCAAAAGAAGTCTAATTTTCTTGAAAGGATCTCGTGATGTATTTCGTATAAAATTGTTTTTCTTTGGACAGCTAATACAATGAAACAAGTTTCACAAACATATCGTCTAAAGTGGGTGCAAAGATAAGGGCCTAAATTCTAAAATCAAACTTTTTTTTAAAGTGTCGTCGACAGAGCACTGCAAGTAAATGTTTATAAGACATTACACCGACCTTCTTATCACATTTTCAAAACAGACAAATCATAAATCAGTAAAATGATAAACAGGTAAATACAAGAGGTGATCATAAAGCCAGTGTCATGCAGTGAACAACGTAAAAATTTTAGGTGATTGAATCAATAAACGCTCTTTCGAATTAAAAGCCTTGATAATTTCTCAGCAAGGCAGAGGGTGAGGAAGCGTGCGCACGTCTGCGCGCATCCAAACTTCAGGAGTTTCCTGCGTCCTGGAGACTAATGAGAGATGCGATGCGTCTTGTTAGGAAACATCACATGTTTGTGCACTCAGCGGCCCCAGATTAAATTAGTGAACATCAGGACACGCAGGGGGAAGTAGTGGGAGAGCTGGGCGAGCAGAAAGAGGGACAAGCTCTGTCGGCGAACAGATCAACTCTTTGGGGAGGTGGAAAGGCTGCATTTGTTTTTAACCTTTAGTCTTATTGCTCACTTTTTTTCCTGCTGAGGAGTGGGAAATGGAAACCTTGCGATTTGTTTTTCTGTTGGTTTGTGCCTGCTTTTTTTATCAAGCTGATGGACGCAAAAGTAAGTGGTGCTGCTTTGAAGTTGGACTGTAAACTGATGTGAAAAAAAGTTATGATAAGGTATTTTGAACAGTAAGTCTGACTGGATCTGACGTAGAAAATTAAGACTCATCATGTGGACTATTTACTAAATGTCCTACTTTTCTAGATAGGGTATTCAAATTTATATCACACTCACTCGTGGGTCTTGACTTAAAAAAAAATGTGGCACAGCAGGTCGTTATTAAGTGTGAAATAGACTTCTGATATTTGATATTTCTCTTGCAGTTTCTGTAATAGGCTACCTATCATGTCATCAGCTGTCTGCACTCTGAGTCCCATGAGCTTAATTAAGGCGCGCGCCCTGGCTGGTCAGATTGAAAACTATCCACACAAAGGAAACGATTTTACATCCATAAAAATACAACGCATTTTAAACCTCAAACCTCTGTCATCCCACAATCACATTGGATTCCAAAGGGAACATTAAAGTCGCAGACAGTTAAAAAACATATTTTTATTAATAATATAAAAACAACAGAAGTAGGCTAACGTTTAAACTTTTAAAATGTCTGTATCTGTCTTACCATGAGCACACAGATATCTGCATTTTGTTTTCCCTTTAATCAAATCACATTGCTGGAATTTGTTGTTTTTCGTCAGTCGTCCACCGTTGATCATTAAAATATGTCAGTGATTGTCTCAATTAAATTAACCCGAAAATAAGCGCATGGAGTTATGGAGAACAATACAGTTACCAAATAATAAAATATTTAATTTAAAACTAGAGAAAGCATCATTATTATTATTATTTAGAAGCCTTATTCTTAAAAAGATCCCCACATCATGTACAGCAGGGGTAAATCTCTCTATTCAAGGAACTCAAAGTTATGATTTCTTTTCTGATGGGTTTCATAGATTCATAGATTTTCATTATTTTCTACAAGGCATGTCAGGTGACACAGCAGAAAAGATTTCATGTCATGATAAATAATAAATAAAAAAGTTTAATTACAAAATCTTCATACTATGTTTGCAGACATGGACTCTTGAAATCTTGAAACTTCAGTTAAGCAAAAAATGTAGGCTACTAATGAATTTTAATACTGAAGTAATTCACATATTTTCTGTAACTTTTGGCAAAAGAATGGTAAGGATGGTTTCCAATACATGTCTCTAAATGTGCACAATTAACTAATAAAACAAAAGTTTTCACTGGGGGACTGTGATCAATTTCGCTCAGTGATCCTTTGTTCTCTGTCTCCAGCATTCGGTGACATGTTCCCACACAAGCATGCAGTAGCAGGGAAGTTTCCATTTCCAGTGCCACCGATCCCTGGCTGGGATCCTGACACCAACCCATGGGATGATTATCTCTACCCTCCACTAAACCCAAAGCCAAAAGAGCTCACGCACCACAAAGGTGAGTAAAGTCATCTTTTTCATCTGAAGTCTTCCTATTATGTTTGGAGTCTTTTCACCTGGAATACCCTCTTTTCCGCAGGTAAAGCCAAGGTTCGTCTGACCAGCGACAGTCCGGCTCTCAACGGCTCTTGCATCTCTTTCACTGCCATGCTGGAGTACCCTCCGTGCCAGAAGGAGGATGCCAATGGGGACCTTGTATGGGATGAGCACTGTGCGGATGGTACGGAGCTAGAGGCCTCAGGTGCTGCTAAAAAGCCCGGCTGGCCACGCCCTCAGACACATTATATCACTGTCCAGCACAAAACACCACTGCACCATATTAGACAGCCACACAATAACATAATTCAAAACAACAACAAAAAAACACAGGAGCAGAATAAACAAATGGTTTCACAAGCACACTAATTAATTTTTTGCCCACTTGGGGGCAGCACCACAAACTATGAACATAACACATGTATAAGCGCCTCATAAAAATGATATGGTGAATGGTTAGCAAACATTTCCCTTTTTACACATCCAGCAGAGGAAGAGCAATGTTTCTGTCCACCTGGTTAATATAAGTCCATTACTGACTCTCCTTTGATCTCTGAGCTGAGGGGAACTACAATGTTGGAAAAATCCTCTATGGGATTTGTCACTATGAGCGACCCCTTTCACATTACAGATGATCATTTGTCCCAAAAAATTGAATTAGTGCAGCTTTAATTTTTTAGTTTTTAAGTAACACAATCTTTTACTCTACTTTTCTGAGCAGCAAATGGACAAGTGCATTCTGGCTACGTGTACAACTGGACTTCATGGTTGGACGATTATGGCTTTGGAAAGTGTGCAGACTTCACAAAATGCAACATATTCCCTGATGGGAAGCCCTTCCCTCTGAGTAATGACTGGAGACGGAGGAGCTACGTCTATGTGTGGCACACAATGGGTGAGAACACACAAGTTTACAGATTAGCACACATGCACATGCAAAAAAACAAAATCAAGTAGCAGTATTCTTCTCCATTTATCTTCTCTGTTTGTCCCAGGCCAGTACTACGAGACATGTGACGGCTCCTCCTCCCGTGTGACCATCAACACCACCAACATCCCTCTGGGGGCGGAGGTCATGGAGGTCATGGTCTACAGGAAACGCGAGCGCAGGAAGTACAGCCCCCTCACCACTGACAACACCGTCTTCTATGTCACAGGTGGAGACAAACTCACACATTCAGCTTGTACAACTTTATCCATTGGCCTGTTTCAGACAAACAGACAAATACAAACACATGGAGAAACTTAGACAATCAATTATGTATGACGCCCCTACACACACTCTCTCTCAGATAAGATCCCAGTGGCGGTCAACATCTCCCAGAAGGCTGCGGTCAACCAGTCTGAGAATGTTTTCTTTTGTGGTGAGGACGTGGTCTTTAAAGTCCAGCTCCATGACCCCAGCGGTTACCTCAAAACCGCCGCTGCCATTGACTACATCTGGGACTTCAGAGATGGCAACCAGCTGGTGACACACCGCGGCGTGACCACACACACCTACAGCAGGCTGGGGACCATGAGTGTGAAGCTGGTGGTGGAGGCTGCGTTCCCTGTAGAGTGTCCGCCCACTGCTGCCACCCCCACGTCACCATCTCCCACAGGTACTGGACAGACCACATAGAAATGGCCCTAACGAACATACTACCCATACCTTAACTGTATACATCCAGCCTCATACACTGTAGTGTACTTGATGACCAAAAAGATTTAGAGACCTTAAAGGAGTACTCTATTGATTTATTATTGCACTTTCTCAGATTTTTAGAGACTGTTAAGGCATTCAGGAATAATTTATTTTATTGACCTCTGCAACACTGTCTCCGATAATACAAGCTGCTGTTGAACTGGCCTGACCTTGATGGAGAAGACAAAGGAAGACGTGACTTACCTTGCACAGATCATTGAAGTGACCTCATAAAACCAGATGTGTCATAATTATATTCTTGTGTCTGTTTGTCCAGAGGCTCCCACACCTCCACCCAGGACTCATGCTGTTACTTTCAAGATGGAGACCACACAGGGTGAGCTCCACAGTTAACAGTGTGTTTGTATAAGGGGGAAAGAGAGTGAGACAGACAGAGGAAGTGAACGTGTCAGAGCAGGAGCTCAATATTAATGAAGAGAACCTGGAATATAAAATAGTTGCATGCATCACATACACCAGTGAGTCCATATCTTGCCACTTGTTTCCTGTTTCAGCGCCACCCAGCACCAGCAGACCCCTCCCCTCATCCTCTCCCGCTGCCATGACGTCAGGCGTGCCCACCACGGAGCCCCTCCCGCCTACTCTTGGCAGTGCGACCCCAGAGTCCAACCCCACCACCATGGCCTGGCTCCGCACCAGGCGCCTCAACAGCAACGAGTGTTTCCGCTACGCCTACGGGACCTTCATGGGCAACATCACCATTATTGGTGGGTGGGAGGCTGCTGTTGCCTTTTCACATATAATTTAACGTTACTTTGATGAATTGGTGGGGGGGAACGGACCATTCGTAATTATAATCGCAATCCTGTTATAATTCAAATTAAAAGCTTATTCAGTATTTTCAAAGCAATGAGCGCATCACTGTCTGCCACAGTGTCTTTTATGATATTGCCACCAGATGGCGCCAAAGTCAGACATTTTTAAATCATGCAGCTAGTGGCTTTAAAAGATGATTGGAAAGTGGTAGGTTGTTATAATTCCTTTCTTTTATTATTTATTTATTATTTCAGCCTTGCTAGTGGCACAGCTCCACCATGGCAATGGCTGTCAGTCAGTCGGTCCACCTTTTTGGTCCAAACTCATATATCTTAACAGCTGTTGGATGGATTGCCTTGAAATTTTGTACAGACATTTATGGTGCCCAGAGGATTAATGCTAGCGATCCCTGACTTTTCCTCTAGCAACATTATGGGGTTTAAATCTCTGGTTTTGAGTTAAAGGTCTTCTGGATGGATTCCCATGAAATTTTTATTTGTCCAATTCTTTGGTTTATGAACAAATATCTGCAACACTATTGACACTCCCATCATCCTCAGGCATGGTCAACATTATACCTGCTAAACATTAGCATGTTAGCGTTGTCACTGAACATGTTAACATGCTGAGGTTAGCATTTAGTTCAAAGCTTGTTTTTAAGCACAAAGACAACACAAACCAATTCAGTGGTAAGGATAAATCATTGTTGTCATATAGTCAAATATCTACCTTCCAAAATTTAAATATAACTGTAATCCCTTATTTTCATTTTCAAGTAAACAAGTAGACAACAGTGACTCTGTTGTCCAGTTGTTAAAGGAAAGCCAGCTCCACAGAGCTCCAACAGAGCTCCTGTCACCCCGTCAGCAGGGCGAATATCCAGTCAATGACTGTCATATGAAACTGGCCTTTTGTGTCTGACGTTGAACTCTACAGTGTTTTTTGCACATATCAAAAAGCTAAACCAATACTCACATTTTTATGTGATGGAAGGATTATAATTTTCTATAAAAAAAAAACGTTAATCCTTATTTTTATGGTTCAGTTTTTTCCTCCTAAACTTGTCTTTGTTGGGTCAAACACACACACACACCTCCCTCCACTAAAAACTGCTTCATCATTTTAATGTCATGAGGAGATGACTACACATCTAAAATCTGTTCTCCACAGAACCCAAGCACGCACTGAACAGCCAGCCAAACAGTCGCATCGTGGATGTGTCAGCTTCCAGAGTGACCAACACTGACATCAGCTTCCTGGTGAAATGTCTGGGCAAGTGAGTATATAAGTTATTCTTTATTAATTTGATATGAATGTAAGTTCATATTAGTCTTTTCCTTGACTGATGTTGGGGTGTCATGAAGTGACACGTTTTCTCTTTGTAAAAGCATTTAAAATGTGTTTTAATACAGTTCAACAAAGAGATTACACATTAAAAGTATTTCTTTTAAAAGTTTTTAGATAAAGAAAAAGTTTGGTAATTCTATCTCTCTGTCCAATCACCCTCAGCATCCCCACTTCAGCCTGCACCATTGTGTCAGATCCCAGCTGTACTCAGGTGCACAACATTATGTGCGATGACGTGCCGCCATCGTCAGAGTGTGAGGTGCATCTCAGGCGAACATTTCTGGAGCCTGGCACCTACTGTGTCAACATCACTCTGGAGGACTCCAGTAGCCTGGCCCTGACAAGCACCACTGTCACTATCAACAAGTCCCAGGATACACCTGGTCGGTTGCACAAAGTGGTCCTATTATAAATCCATTCTCTTTAACTAGCTGCTTTGTAGAAAATGGACAGATTGATGTCCCTGTGTCTGTCTCATTGTGTCTATGCCCCTCACTACTGTCCTCTGTCCCTGTAGTGTCCAAGACTTCTCGTGCTGCAGAGGTGGTGCTCTCCTCCAGCGCTGTGCTGGTGGCTGTCTTTGCATTCACTGCCTACCTGGTCTGCAAGTGAGTAGTCATAACATGCATGGGTGTTGCACATTGACATGAACATACTCCTTTTACTTTATAAGTTATTTTCACCGCCCTGTAGATAATTTCCCCCACCAAATATTTGTCTCTCTTCCATCCTTCTATCCCGTATCTGACTCTCTCCCAGGCGTTACAAGGTGTACCGTCCGATTCGTAGGACACTGGTGGAGGACGCCTGTGGCTTTGCTGGGGCCAGAGGTCGCATGGTCCGTCTAAGAGAGGCACTCTTCCCCTCCAGTGAGGAGAGCCATCACCTGCTGACCGAGAGACACCCCCTGTAGGCTTTAAAGAGCTACACCACAGCATTTCTGCTCTTAATGCCAAAATAAAAAATCACAATTGATGTATGCAAATCTAAGCTAGGTTAAATCATTTAAAAGTCAAGATAGCAGGAATATCAATGTACTATTATTAATATTAGAAAATAATGTCGTGTTTGTGTCTTAATTGAGTTGTTAACTGTGAGTTGGCTACAGCAGTATAAGATTGGTAAGATGATTTACTGAAGAAGCTGTTAAATGTCTGGCTCTGCTCCTTTTGATCTCCTTGTTCTGGCTCATCGTTGGATGAGAGAATTGCTCTTAGATGAATTGGGTCCAAGTCAAGGCTTGTTTCAAAAGAAATGCTATTTTGTAAATCTTGTGCCACGTACATAATACTGCGCCTTGTACTGTAATCACCAGTTAAGAATGACATCCTTGAGATGGCTTTCCAATTAGAATTTATGCTTCCAGTGACATATGCATGCTAAAAGTACAATTTTAAACTGTAAGACTCAATAACTAATTTGAGGAATTCACTGAAAACTTGACATGCCTCTAATAAAGGTAGTGAACTAACCACTCATCTGTCATTCAGACACTTGTCTTTTACTTTATAATGTGAATTCTTTGTTCAACCTTGCTTCAGTACAAATGACCCGCAAATAATTCAAGGTTTGGCGATTGGAGCAATTGAAAGACTATTACAGCAATACATCCACAATAGCATGATGACTTCCTTGTAGCCCAGCTGTGGGACTAGAATATTTTACACCCACAGCTCAGATGGATATAAACTATCCTGTGTATTCTTGTTAATACAACGCATGTAACATTAGCTAAACTAGCTGTGTCCCATAGCCATACTACATACCAACTCTAACAGGTCTTTAGTATGTGGGGTGTTCACATTGAAAAACATTTGAGTGTGCTGTAGATGTGTACTGTTTTTCCACAAGGTAATGTACAGAAGGAAGGAAGGCGCTTCTCAAAGCTGGAAAAACATTTTAAGATGCATTGTGGATGGCGGTCGAACAGTTCAGAAAACATTTGAAAAAAACATTTTTGCTGTGTGACATTAAATTGGTGGTGCCATTTTTAAGTCACAGCTTGATTCCATTGCATACATATTGCAAAATTTCCTGTTACTATAAAAAGTATAATTGCATGGTACAAGTTTATTTCATGTATACTAACTGCAAAAAAGTATATATAGAATAGATGTGTATATATAGTATATAATAACTACTACTATACAACATACAAAAAACAACCCATTTTAGTGTTTCTCAAAATTAGCAACTTTCCATCCTTGTCAAAAGGGAAATTGCTACTTCCTTCCTCATGGTTTCAAAATTCAAGATTTTGTCATTCCACACTACACTGTAGTACAAAATTACGTGCAAAGTTCACAGCTTAAAATACAGCACAGAAACAATTGAAAACACCATAGAAATACAAGATAAATATATATAAAGAGCATGTAGAGTGTTGACTGTTTACTATTTGGAGTACTAATGACTGATTTCTGGTTCCATTGTCGACCAAGAACAGCAGTCTTGCTGGTTTGTGCCATAGAGCAATACAACTTACATTTAATCCAGTAGATTTCTTGCAATATCAGACCCCACTCCCAATGTAAACAGCGGTGGACAGTAACCAAGTACAAATTTGAGGTACTTGTACTTTATTTTCCTGCTACTTTCTACTACTTCACTACATTTCGGAGGGAAAAGTACTTTTTACTTCACAACATTTGTCTCACAGCTTTACTAGTTACTTTACAAATTAAGCTTTGTAAAGACAAGACAACACAAGACAAATAGTTTTGAAATATTGTTTCATTTCAAGTTGTACTACCCAACAGTAAGTTTTGGGAATTTAACAGTAGACTAATTGAGAAAATAGTCAGATATATTCATAATGGAAACTCTTAGTACCTTATTGAGCGCCTCAATGTTTAATAGTCAGCACATTCTGCTGATTACTCACATTCTCATTGTAGTACTTTTAGCTGCAACGATTGTGCAATCAAAAACATCCATTGTGATGAGTTGTTAATGTGCATATTGATATAGGTACCTGTCCTATGTATAGGAGTGTATATGTTGAGATAATTATGTGTTTTTGCAAAGCGCGGAACTGACAAGAGTCCAAAACAAATTTCCCTTAGGGGACAAAGTCGTGGGGCGTGCGATCTGACATTATAGCAATTGTAAGTCGCTTCGGATAAAAGAGTCAGCTAAATGAAGAAAATGTAAAGCATGCCAGTCATGTTTACAGTTCAAGTATAGTTTGTAGGCACAAAGGACTACTATAGATGCAGAGTTGTGTCCAGTTCCAGCTCTTATGAATTGTCTTCAGACCAATATAGCGATACATGTTTACCTCTTAACACTAACATACCCCAAAATAATAACGATCTTTAACACACCTTTGGAATTAGTTTAAAAAAAAGCTGCAATTTTTTTTTATTATTTTTTTATTCAGAGGCATTTGACAAGTGGAGCTGTGTGTGAAGGGGCACAAGCATGGTTGCAGAGAGGAGGAGGGGGGAATATCATGCTGAAGTTAGATCACTTTTCCCAAAGAAAAAAAAACACAACCCCAAACAAAAAAAACTCAGAGACCCAGTCCCTCATCTGTCTCATACCAAGAGGATGTTCCACGTTACACAGCCAAGAAATGCTAACAGAAGAAAATAGCTACCAAATAATCAGCGAGTGAGTGTAGCATCTGTGAAAGACAAAAGGGGGGGAAAAAAAGACAGGACATGTATCCATTTTGAAGTCTTACAAATCAGAAACCAAAAGGCAGGTCCTTTTTTTTTTTTTTTTTAAACTGTATTCTCATTATACTACTGAATGCAAAAAAAACACATGATTTGACCTTTTCACAAAAAACCCAAGCAAAAAGTTCAAATACATGTAAGCCACACCACCAAAATTAGAAAGCAGAAAGAAATAACCATCGTTGAGAATTTCAATTAAGCCAAAAAGAGTATATAAACACTGGCAAAATAAAATATTTTTGATCACTTTCGATTATTCTCTCAATTCTAAAGAGTACGTGATTTTATTCAACTTTTCATTCATATCTGGGTAAGCATGGGGAGGCATACAGGAGGGGGGGGGCTAAAGTCTAACAAATAGAAGATTGCCTCTACTTCAAATACGTGTCTAAAGAGGTAGATCAAAACAAACTGCAGAGGAATGGAATGGGGAGGGTGGTTTGGTAGGAAGGAGGCAGGGAATCAGGAGGTGTCGGGGATAATTTTAAGTATCACTTGTGCCCCTCAGTTGAGCGCGGTGTTAGGATGGCGCGCCCTTGTAGAAAGAAGTGTTTGGGGGAGACTGAGGTATCAGTGCGCGCTGGCGCTCAGTGGGGGCAGGGTGGAGTGCCTAGTGCCACAACAACCCCCCACCCCCTCAGCTGAGGTAGACGGCGTTCTACTGTGGAAGCATGGATACACTCGAGCACTTTTACCACAATCAACATATTTACATTCGGCATGAAGAGACAAATGAAATAAATTGTATATTTAAGTTTGGATTCCTTCCCTCTTTTCTTGCCCCGTCAGGGTTCATTCAGTATTTTGTCTGCCTTTTCGGGCCGGTTATCCCTGTAACAAATTGAAACGTCAAGTTACATTTGTTGGTTACAGAGAATGTCTTGTTTAAGTCATTTTCCTATAGCGAAAAAAAAAAAAAGAGAAAAAAAAAAGGGTCCATCAGTGAGACTCCCCCTACCCTCACCATGCAGTGAACGTTAACATTGACTTGATGGCCTGGCTACAAGGGCCACTCCGAACTGACAAAGCTTGCTCTATGAAAATAAACCTATTCGGGCTTGGACCTTGCTAAGACACCATCGTCAAGAAGGTGGCAGATGGCCTGGGAACAGACAAAACAGATGCTCTGCTGACTCTAGGGCAGCTAGGGAGCCCTTTACAGTCCACACTGCACTGCCCTGACCATAGCCCTCCTAGGAAGGCAAAAAAGGATATTTTTTGACAAATCAAAGTACCATTACCAATAACAATGTCAATCCCAAAACTAAATGGCATTGCTGCAATTATGTACGGTTGGCATTATTTGCATGTCTTAGTTGTTTTGTACTTTCAGAAGACGGTGGACCCTCAGGGCAAAAACTGAGGCGATTTTCTCGATACTCCTGTCAGCCGCCAGCTGAGGGGGCACCAACTCTTGCTCCTGGGCTGCTATGTACAAATAGACTTTATGTACAGGGTCATCTTAAGTCACACATACACATGAACAATGCCGCTTAAAGCACCAGAGTTGAAGGCAAGGTCAGTTGGCAGCTGACCAAATTTTAAATTTTCTTAAAAAAATAAAAATGTTCAAAGACTATCAGCTTTATAAAGTATACAAAATACCACAAAAGCAAAATAAAAAAGAAAGGAACATTTTTTTCATATATATAATCATTTTCTTTTCTCTTCTGAGGTACTAGATCCTGAGGTAGTTAAGTAAAATGCATATTAAATTGGTTTTCCTGGGCAGCAGCAGTTCGGCACCATTTCCCTAAGTGTCAGTCATGGCGCTGCCCTCACCTCTAAATATATATATTCATCTATGTATATAGGTCTATCTATAAAATGCATCCAAATTTATAAAATGCCACTATCATTAGAAGGGCAGGACGCCCAATAATCCACCCTTTCAGGGGTCCTGTCCTGAAACAAGACTCTTTCCCTTAAACATGGCCCACACAATCTGAGCCAACCCTCCCCCAAAATAAACCTCTGTTGGTCCGACCAGGACCTTGATAGCAATGCCTTTTCCTTTCCACAGAAAACTCATGAGAAAGCTTCAACCAATTAAACATCTAAAAGAGGAAAAAATAAATCTGAAGTCAACCAAAACATCTTGTCAGGTTTGAAGTACCACACCAAGGAGGTGATTGGATGGGGGGGGGGGGGGGGGGGAGGATCCTTATGTCTTCTTTGTGTTTCTAGTGTAAAAATGGGACCAAAAATAAAAATAAATTTAACACACCCGTGGTGGTGGTGGGGGGGTTGGGGTGGGGTCGAGGGGTGTGTACATGTGAGGGCAGGTGACGATGTTGGGAGCCCTCAGAAGTACATTCTCAGAGATGCAGAGAGGTGAGGTGGGTGGAGGTTTACAGGCATATGGTCCACTTGAAAGTTCATCAAGTAAGACGAGGGGTGGATGTTTGGTTGGGTTGATAACCATTGACCCCTGAGACGAGCATTGCAACCCCTTGTCTGCTTCTTCTCCCCCTAGACTCCGCTGCATCTGCCCATCTGTCGAGTCTTCTGGCAGATTCAGTCACCGTTCCTCCAGGTCCGCTGGATCCTTTACTTCCTGCGGGGCACTGGAGGTTGAGCTCCAGATGTGGGCTTAGGCTGCTGCTGCCTTCTCACCTGGGCCAGGATCTCCTGAATCTTCCTCTGGGCCAGCTAGATGACATAAGAAAATGCTAATATTAGATCACAGTACAAAGCACTTGCATTTAAAAAAAAATCCATGCCGTGCTCAAGTGGTGTCAATCCATGCTCTTTTCAGCATGTACGGGAAAACATCTGACACTTTACCAAAAGACCTTCTTGAAAT